GTTCTCCGAGTCCGATCGACTTGGGTATTACACACAATGTTAAACAGACCCGGGACCCGAGGTAATAGATTGGGACCCGACCCGGACCGGGCTGACCATTTAAAATATAGCCCCGAACCCGTACGGATCCCGGGTCCTCGGTCTTGGGTCCTCTGTGTAGACCTCTACCGGGGGCTATCGACGCGGGGGTGGTCTCATTCGAAAGCAGGCCTCTAGACGTAGGCTACACTCAATTCGTGTTCGAGAGGGTTCCTCGAGCTGAAGGGATCCCCCAAATTTGGTGCGGATTCGCCATAGTCTATAGCAAGACCCACATCGTCTTTACAAAGATGTAACGTCAAGTTTGCCAGACGCAATGTCGTCTTTAAAAAGACACACCCGTGAACTCATCAGTAAATGAGTACAAAACAGTGTTTCCAAGCACCTGTCGCTTACTGACTGTTTGGAATTATAAATATGAGCATAGGTCGTGTGTTAATATTATGCACGTTTTTTCTAGTTTGTTACTCAGACGGAGGCAGTGCACTGCATGAGACAAAAAGTAATATAGCCAAAACAACCGCATAGCCGCTCTTTAGTGTAGATGCATGTTGAGAGCCAGAGCCCCGGCCCCCATCATGTGCACCTTCTACAGAGGCACCATCGAGAGCATTCTGAAGAGCTGCATCACTGTGTGGTATGGCGCCTGCAACGCGTCCTGCCGCAAGTCACTTCAACGCATAGTGAGAGCAGCTGAGAAGATTTGTCTCTCTCCCCTCCCTCCAGGATATTTACGGAACCCGTCTCACCTGCAAAGCCCTCTGCATTGCAGGTGATCCCACCCACCCGACACACAGCTTCTTTAGTCTGCTGCCATCAGGGAGGAGACTGCGGAGTCTCCAGGCCAGGACCAGCAGACTGAAGGTCAGCTTCATTCATCAGGCTGTCAGGAAGCTGAACTTCCTCCCGACCTTGCCCCCCCTCCCCTCTTTTGCCCCAGGCACCACTGAACTCTGAACCCCTTCCCCTCTTTTGCCATAAAACCATAATTCAAATACCTCTTCAGTCAGTTTAAATAAAGAACTGCGCTCTGAGCTTTTTGTCACTTTAATCAGACTGAATAAGCTCTTTTGCACTACAATCAATTTATCTGCACTGTTTACTTCACTGGTTTGCACTATTTAACTTTATATATATTTTAATTTTTTACATGTCCTTATTTGTATATTTGTATAGTTGTATTTTGTATAGTTGTATTTTGTATTTAATCTGTATTTATGTTATCTGTATGCACCAAGGGTCTGAGAGTAACGCAATTTCAATTCTCTGTGT